TATATATATATATATATATGTATATATACAGTACGCAATATTTAGGTTTTAGTTTAAAAATTGGGAATCATTACAATAATTGGATAATTATTGTTTTTTATTCTCCAAATGAAATCAGGATTGTTGGCATTTTCTGACCGTTTGTGATTTTATCTGCCACCGTTTAAGTAATAATAGAAGTATTAATAAATTATAATAATAGTAAGAGGAGTAATATTAGAAAAAATAGAGGTGGGCGATATGGACTTAGAATTTTATTATTTTATTATAGTGAAAAGTTACTACTTTTTTGTTAACTGGCTGTGAATTTATGTCATAGCACCACAAACAGAAATACTGCTCCTGAAAAGCATTTCCATTTAAAATGTTCTTCTTCAGGATGCAAGTTACTTAAAAAATGTGTGATTTATATCACTAATCTGCACACAGCAGCAGCATTTAATTAAATTTAATGGTATTTATTGATGCTTTTATCTCGATAAATCAAAATTTTTCACGACGATTGGTAAACGATACGATAAATGCTGATTGTTCATAGAAAAAAAAAATCTATTTTCATTGTTTGTATCTTTCTCGTCCCAGTGGGTTCCGGAGATTTCTCACCACTGTCCAAGCACACCTTTCCTGTTAGTGGGAACGCAAGTGGACCTGCGGGAAGACAGCAACACCGTGGAGAAGCTGGCCAAAAACAAGCAGCGCCCCCTGTTCCCTGAGAGCGGGGAGAAGCTGGCTCGGGAGCTCAAAGCTGTCAAATACGTGGAGTGCTCTGCGCTCACGCAGGTATGGAGCTAATTCACCACCACGTGGTTGGTCTGGTATATAACCAGTCAGCTTCACTTTGCTCTCTGCTTTCTTCTTCCTGTGAACCAGCGAGGGCTGAAGAACGTGTTTGATGAGGCCATCCTGGCAGCACTGGAACCTCCTGAGATCAAAACGAAGAGGAAATGTGTTCTCCTATAAAGAAACGCAGACGAGACGAAACCGCAGGGAAAATTCAGCCGAAACATCCATTTGGTAGGAAGGAGATACGGACACACAAGAGGGGAGGGAAGAACTGTGCCATAGAGATTTTATTTTATTTTTCTTTTGAACACGAGCTCAATGATTGTACCTTCTGAAATTGGAGAATATTGCCTCCAACATGCGATATTTGTCCTTTACTGAAAGCTTTTAGAAACTACTGTATTCTCCTTCAGGTGTCCCCTCCCTTTTCCCTTACTGCTTACTGTAACGGTTCTATGCTGCATTTTATGTGTTAAAGGAGATATTCCTTTATAAAGTTCCTCAATGTGCTTTACTGAAGCAACATGGTAAGACGTTTAAAGAGGCACTGAAATGTTAAGTGGTACTTTTTATTTTATTTTTTTCTGCCCTTATTGAATTAGCTAATGAAAAGCCAAAGGATTTAACGTCAATCCAAACAAATCTGTCATGTTTACCTCCCTCAAAGCTAAGTGAATTCCTGTTTTTGTTTTTTTGTTTTTTTAATATATGCGAGTTCTGGGAAATCTTCATAGTCTTTTTTGATTTTAACTTGAATTTATTTTGTCCAGATGATTTTTAAAATTTGCTAGATGACCAACAATGATTTGATTGATTTTTGAAAATATTAAGATGTAATATTTTTGATAAAAGTCAACCTTGATATAAGGTGATAAATCTTTTTAGAAATGTTCAGGGTTTAAGAAATCAGAGGATATTTTTAATAAAATCCTTTTTTTTATCAAAAGTGAAAAGGACTTCTGTCTTGTGTGTTAAATTAATTGTGAGTACAGAGCACTTTTAAATGAACATTTTCAGATTTTGTCACATCACAGCTTCAAACCTACATGCATTTTATTGAAATTTTAAGGAGTAGATGAAAATAATAGAGCATTATTGTGAAGGGAAAGGATTTTTAAAATCCAGACATTTTAAAAAATAATTAGAAATATGTGACGATTGTTTCCACCCTCATATTAGTCAACATTTCCAAAGAATCATTTTGTTGGAATCACAGCCACAGGTCTTTTGGTGTTTTTCTTCTGACATATTTTTGCTTTTCTGCCTCAAGCTCAGCCTGTTTCCATGGATATCACAGAAACAGACTTTAACTAGGCCACTCTAACACATAATTATGCTCTTTTTCATAAAATGTTTTGAGTCATTTCCCTAAAATATTTTGAAATCCTTTCAGCATTGGCCTGTATTTACTGCCATCTTCTTTGTTCCAAAAAAAACCCCCAACATCCACACAGGATGATGCTGCCACCACCATGTGTCACCATGGGGATGGTGCATTTGAGGGAGCATGTGATGTTTACTTCCCGTTTCCTTTGATTTTTGAGTGTATAAATAGACTCCATTAATGTGAAAGTTACTTTGTAGAACATCATCAAGGTAAAAATACATTCTTTAAAAACAACCTTTCCCTTTGAATGCACTTTTAGTAAACATGACAGGTCAGCATTAATTAGATCTGCTCCTCAGTTGTAATGCAGAACTGTAGTTTTTGGTAGAAGCAGATTAAATGGCAGTGGCAGCGCTGTTGCACTTCAAGATCCAACATGTGGTCCAATAAAAATCCAAAACCAGCCGCAGAGATTTAAAATTAAACCCATAAAGAGAGTTTTACAAATCTGAGCAAAATCACTGCTAACCACTCTGAGACCCAACCCTAGGTTGCAGACTTTAATCTCAGTTGGCAGAGGGATTTTTGACAAGGAAATGATCAAATTTAGCTGAGTTTATGTGTTGATTTTTATTTTATTTTTTTTTACTTTGCTCGAAAACAGTTGTGGTTCTCGCTTTTAAGCCGGGAACTGATCGGGGCAGAAGCACATTCAGTACTGCTCCGTTTTGCAACCATGGGAAAAAACTGAAACAGTAACTCGAACAGGTTTGTGTTTCAGGTAAACTACTGTATTTTTGTTAGATGTCTTGGACAAACCTGGTGTGCTGGAGCGTACAGAAATGTTTAACATGCAACATTACAGACACTGAGGTAAGCAGAAGCTATTTCTGCTGCTGGAAAATTAACTGAAGGAAACACTCTGATACACAGTTGTGTTCAAAATAATATAACTGTGCGGGAAAAGAGTCAAATAAGCTCGGAATGCTTTTACAAGCGTTTATTCCTGTCAATGCAAATGCATCGGCAACGTGGCCCATTCTATTCAGAACGACAACAAATGGATCAAATTTGTCCTCCGTCTATACAGAAAGTGATAGAAAGAGAATGAGGAAGTTCAATAAAAGAGCAGTGTTTGCATCTTCTCATTTACTGTGTAAACCTAGAAATACTTAGACTGAGCTTTGCTGTTAGTTATTGAAATAATACTTAAGTTATAAAAGCCAGGTTTTGTTTTTATAAATCTGTGTTGTGTGGATTCTACCAACTTTCATCAAACTTTTCCACGTATTCCAGGATACTTGGACTTCATACATCAGGTTCTCTTTGTATTTTGGTGTGGAAATGCAATATTTTTCCAGTTTTCCATTGTACTGTACAGAGGTCACACCGCCACTCTTTAAAGCTGCAGTTTGAAATATTCTCTCATGTATTTGTTGACATTATCACTATGGTGTAACAGTTCAATATAAAACAGATAATCTGTGAAAAAATAATTAACCTCTCTGCCTTCCCCAGTGCTCACCAGTAACAACCAATCAGAACCAGGAGGCGGGTCTTAGCGCTGTCAATTAACCTCATCAATATGAAAATGTATTATTTATTAGTTTTCCATTGTTGAATCAACTTTCTATTCACACCATTTTGTTCTTCTGACTGCATTTCACTCAGATTTGACAGGAAAGCTCCATGACCATGTTTTATTTTGAACAGGTCAATTTTAATTAATTACACAGAAACAGTAAACGACATGTCTCGACTGTGGGCTCTGTTCGGTTTTTGTTACTGTACTACATCAGCTACTACATATAAATATAATTTTGACCAAAACCGTTGTTTGATCCAGTTAGTGATCTTAGACTGCATTACTTTGAACACAACTGTAAAAAATAAATAAACCAGGAACAAAGAAGGAAACATAAATACAGAACACGTTCAAAGACCTGCTAGTGTAAGACATAATGTATAAGCATGAAAAACACTCCTGCAATGTTTCTGTTAGTTTTAGTTAATTTCAGCTTTAAAAGCTTTGTCAGGTGAAGGTTTAGGTTGCTGTTGTGAATCTGCCCTCCTTTGCAGTTTTGCAATGCTGTTCCACAAAACTCTCATAGTTACAGATTTGTTTGCTGCAGCTTTCAAATTAGAAGTGCCAGAAAGTTCATATAATTATCTGACGTATTTACTCTGCGGCACCTCTCTGCTGGATTATTTGGGTCTTTAATTGACTTCAGTCTGCTTTTGTTTGAGCCGTTTCAAACTCTGCAGGTGTGAATGGTGACTGTATTCTTGCACTGCTGGCAGCGGACTGAGCAGCACCAGGAAAACTTGCAGGAGCAGCGCTGCACCACCTCGGCCCGGCCCGCTCTGTAGCCGGGCCCGCAGCACACCAGCTCACAGCCGTCTGGAGCCAGCCGGGACGTTCCTGAGGAGGATTTAAAAATAGCGGCCATGTTGGTTTTTAGTGGCAGTGGACAATAAATGAATAGCAAGATACAGTTGTTTACATTCACTATATGGATTTTTTTCACTGACATGAAATCTACACAAACTTTTCCTGTTTTATGTCAACTGGGATTACATTTTTTTTATATTTGCTAAGTGCCAGAATAATGAGAGAATTTTTTAAGGTGATACTCATTGCTTTCTTCGGTGGCTCAGTTACACCAGTTCTGTCGAGATGTATGGACCAAAATTCCTGCCAACTGTCGTGAAAAGCTTGTGAGAGGATATCCAAGACGTTTGACCCAAATCATAGAGTTTAAGGGAAATCAGTGGTACCAAATACTTATAAAGTGTACTTCAATTTTTGACTTTGAAGAAAGTAATAAAAATTGCCTTTAAGCATTCTCTTTCTTATTATTGAAAATAGAAAAAGAATTGGTAATCCTAACTGACCTAAAACAGGAAAAGTTTATTCTGATATTACATCAGGCACTGTGAAAAAAATACATTTAGTGTATGAAAACTTATGGCTTCAACTGTATATCGAGATGACGTGATCAATATCAATTGATAATACGTCTGATTGAATCTTCAATATTCAATATATAGAACATTCCCTGAACTCCGATTCAGAACCGCACAGCATTCTGGGAGATGTAGGCAGAGGAAAGGGTTTGTCAGCAAGCTAAGAAAGGTTGTTGGCATCAACTAACTCATTCTTTGGTTACCTAGCAACAATTTGTTGAGTAACTTGTGGTTACCAAGCAACAACCTGTTAAGTAACTCCAGCAGTTTAAGTTTTCGCCACTGTGCCTCATGACTGCTTAAAAGTAAAAAAACAACGAGATGGAATGAAAACTGGATAAAACAGGAAAGGAATAGTTTGGCGACATTTCAGATATTTAAAACAAAAAAACTCATCAATAATAATTATCAATATTGACCAATATGAGATGTTAAAACTGTGACATGCTTTCAGCCATATCATCCAGCTTTAGAGTGCAATGCCACAAACTGAAGCTTCACAACTTGGATAATTTGTTTCTTGGATTTACCGTTGCATCTTCTTCCAGCAGTCCCTGGGATGCCGTTATCTGGGTCAAGGTGGCAGAAGTCTGGGGAAGGTGCCACATACACGAGGTCTCTGGCAGCAGGGGGTTTGACGTAGGGGTCACGAGGGAGCAAAGCTGGCCTGGACCCAATACGAGTCAATCGGACCTAGAAGAGGGAGGGTTTATTATTATTTTTTACATTTTTATTTACTTTCAAATAAATAAATATATGTCCACACACATCGTTGTCTTGCAGTGTTAGAGCAAAAGTACAACAACACTCATTATTTCTTTCCAAATACATAGTTCAAATGTGACGTCAGCGTTCCTGGAGCTTTGTAGCTGACGACCATCTTGGTAGGTATCTGTAACTAACTGTCATGACAGTTGCTATGACAACGATAAACAAGCCACATTCTCTGTCTCATGTGGGTCGATCCCAACAGCAGTAACTTTGTTTATGTGTCTCTCTTTTGGACACTGGTCAAAAGTATCAATATGTTTTCTTTTTTTGGTCTAGAAGCCACGGTTCGTCTTTGCGTTGTGCTTGCCTACCAAGATGGCGGTTCAGTGGCACAGATCACTGTTTGGTTGAATTCACCTTTCAGCTTAGACATCAGGATGACTAAAATATAATACTGCTTCTGGCGGTTCTCAGATTTTAACAATAAAAGAACAGTAACAGTGGGACAGGTTGTAAATTTCTTCACTCTAAGATCCTTTTACCTTACACCTCTGCCGTGTTAGACTCTCTCCTCAGCCTCTCAAGCAAATATTTAGTCAATATTTAAACTAAATCAGATCTTAATGCTGAAACATAAGCTTTTTGTGTATCGAGCTACAAAAACATGAGCAGAAATCATGTTCTGATACCTCAGTGGCTCCATCAAAGCGTTCCTTGAGTACAACTCCAACACGTCTGAATGGGGGCATGACTTTCCAGCAGGTTTTTAGTTCACAGGAGCCAGAGACACCATGACATTTACACTCTACCTGCATGTTGTGCAGGATGGCCTGTGGATCAGGGTATGTAAAGTCTTACTTGGTGCACCATTAACTACCAAAATGGGGAGTTAAAACGGACTTCAACACTGCAAACCTTTCGACCGGCCTCGTTGTTGTGTAGGTTCATGAGTGGGCGTCCCGCTGACAGCCCCTTGGCCCGCTCAGGTTCATCCACAAAGGTTTGAGAAAACGCCACCCCATAGGACAGGTTGTCACTGCACCCTGACCATTGGAAGCCTGTGGGAAGACAAAACCGTGGACAAGTCTCTCCAGCGACGTTTTGAGTTATTTACGTACAGATTCTTAAAGTGTGGATTCTACGCTTTCCAGTGATGTCAAACATATGAAAATGAACAAATAAATGAATGAGATATGGAAATATGATTGTTGGTACTTGGAAAGTAGGATTTCTGAGAAAACGGCACTAAAAGTTTATTCCCAAATCTGCTGAACAACATAGAGGTGTCCTCTCCCTCAACTCCCCCTCTCAGCTCCTTCAGACTAGCCAGCAGCAATTAGCAAACACCTGGTAGAACTGTGCATCTGCTCAGCTCATTATACCAGCTGCTTCCCAATGAAACGCTGGCGAAAATGTTGTTAAAGGGTTAATAGAGGAGATCCGCTGTGATGACTTCCTGAAGGCGGCGTTTCACTCAGGTTTTTTTTAAAGGGACAAAGACGCAATTTCAAAGCATTAAATTATAAAGTAACATTTCTTTTAGTCATGTTTGATAGTTAAATAAATTGCATTTTTTTTGACAACTGAATGTATCGTAGTTACTTAATTATGCTTAAAGTGGCACATAATAAAACACATAATATCAACCCTTTAAGACTGATTTGATAAAACAAGAGTAAAATATTTACTGTTGATTGATTGATCTAATCATTTGAATCAGGTGTTCTGGAAGAGAGATAAATCTAACATATGTAGGAGACCAGAATTGAGAAACACTGACTTATGTTCAGAGTTGGACCTGAAAATTGTACTCAAGTAAGAGTAACTGATCAAATTATCAATCAGTCAATATTTAAAAATTACATAATCAGACAGACCAAAAATATTAATTTAAGTTAACATTTTGGCATTTTAAGGACCAAAATTACAATAATTCATGCAAGTAACAAAAAATAAGATCAGTTTCTTTTACTAATAAACTTTTGAAACTTTAACAAAAACTGCAGTGTGTGTCTCTATCTGGTGAATTTTTATTCAAAACATGTTTGTTCTTCTGCCAGTGGATAGAGAATCCACAAATTTATTGCTCATGGTTATTTATTATTGTTGTATGATTATTCTTATTACTTTATTTATTTATTTTAATTTTCATTGTGTACTATGCTGGGACAAACAAACATTTCCCCCCCTTAGGTGATCAATATTATCTTAAATATTACTTAAGTAAAGTGTAACAATACTTCAAAATAAAATTACTCAAGAAAAAATAAAAAGTACAGTGTGGCAAAAATACCTTAAAAAAAGTTACTCAAGTAAATGTAACTCCATTCAGCAGAGTTACTACCCAACTCTGCTGAATGGACGGTAGATGATGAGGAACCAAACTGTTAAAATTAAATAAATCAAACCAGCAGCTCCTCTGCCGTTTGATGCTCTGTGTGACTCACAGTGGAGATATTTCCCAACAGAAATCAAGCTCACCTTCAGGGCTGACGCCTCTGACCTTCCTGTCGCAGCCACACCTCTCCAGCTCGCCACGGGTGCAGGCTCGGGTCACGGCCACCGCCACTGCTGCTGAAGACAGAGCGTGCACAAAGGCCGCCTCACGAGTGCCTGGCACCACAACAGCAACACAAAAGAAGAAGAAAGGGAAACAGGGATCGCATGTTTTAAAACTCAGTGAACGCCTGCTCCTCCGTGTCATCTCAGCGAGGGACGCACCTTGATTCATGACTCTTCCGAACACGTTGATCCCACGTGGCGTGGTGGAGCAGTTCCAGCGGCGATTCCTGAACTGATGCTGACACTGACACAAAGCGACAGGGTGAATTTCTCACAAGACGCCTGACATCTCTAATCTCTGCTGTAATACCTCTTCTATGACCATTTCTGCTGCTTTGCGTACGGACTCCATGACCTCCCCTCTCGCCCTGCACACCCCCACCTGCCCCGGGGTCAGCCCCCTCAGCCGGGCGCATGGAGCGGCACCAGACACGGCTCTGGAGCGAGGCAGCCTCGCCAGGGAGCTGCAACACAAAGGCGGTGAATGTGGCTGCGATTCCCCACAGGTGTGAGTTGCAGACAGGGAAGATGGAGGGGGTTAAACTAAAAAAAGGAGAGGCAGAGTGGACAGAGATGACGGCAGAGAGAGAGAAAAGAGAAAAGGTCACCAACTGAGAGAGACAAAGAAAGAGAGGGGAGCTCCTGAAAGAGATTTAGAGACATGTCACCGTCTTTTAAAAGTTATAGCATGACAAACAAACTCTTTCTTTCTGTCCCTCCCAGTTCACGCTACACTTACAGCCAGTTGGTTGCCATGGTGGTGTGGGTGGTGCATAGCAGCAGCAGCAGCAGCAGCAGGAGGAGGAGTGGTGCCGAGAGATTGACAGGTGAGACAGTTGGCATCAGACTGTCTGTCCGTCTGTCCGTCTCCGTGCTTCAGGCTGGGTCGTTGGACTGAAGGCTGTCCGGCTCCACCGTGGAAGTGCTCTGTCCTGTCTGTGTGGCAGTGAGGGGTTTATGGTTCTGATCCCGAGTCAGGGGACGAGCCCTGCATGTCTGCTCAGAAACAAGATAAATTAGTGTCTTTTCTATCATAAAAGGTGATCAAACTACAGGATGTTGTGATTAGTATTTATTTATTGTTATATGTAATTTTTCTTGTTAGTGAATAGCAAACGCTGTATGCTGGTGCTCATTACTATCAGATTGTAGTTTAATTTGCGTATAAAAACAATAAAAACAAAAACAGCTGTGCAGGACAAGATCCTAAAGTCTAATAAGACAATTTTCTCTGACATTTTTTAATTCATAACAGCAAGAATATAAAAAGTTTCACAACATTTGAAATGTATATTGTTTTAAAAGTGTTTTTAAAATTAGATTTCACTAGTGGATTGAAAATCTGGTGGTAGGTTTGCTCAAACTGAGGGTCATCTTTATTTAAGTGCACTTTGCTTAATTTATGCTCTGCATATAATCGAAGCCACTGTGTTATGTGGAATAAGTGTGTAAATCAGAATAATGTGTAAAAAAAATTATGAAAAACTATTGGCAAACCTGTAGCTAAGTGAACATACTTACACCTAAAAAGAGATGTACAATAAAAAAATCATGTTAAGTATTGTGAAGATCTTGTATTTTGTATAGAGAGGAGCAGATAAAGATAAATAACAATCCACTAGAGTCAGATACGCTTTTATTTTGGTTATTCTCAGCTGTAACGAATATCTGATTATTTCTTTTGGTTGTATAAATTCACATCTGTTGTAGATTAATCTCATCACTTTTCAAACTATACTGTGGCTGGAAAACAAGGTGGACATTTGTCGTTAGGCTTTCAAGATGAAAGTTTGTGATTGCAAACTGTTTATTTTATTGTTTAAAAGAATTTGTGGCGAACACCGGATGAAAACTAAATAGAAAACCTGAATCACTTTTTATTTTTGTACAAAATAGTAAAAAAAAATAATTCATGAAGCATTTGAATTACATTGAAACTGGCCAATATTTTCTGTGAAAAGTGTTAAAAATAAAATACAATTACATTAAATTTTACTCACTGAAAACTTTATTTCAATGGGAACTTTCTTTGAAATAGTGAAACATAATATAAGTGTGTGACCAGAACTAAACCAAAAACTAAAATCTTGTCAGACTTTGTAAACTCAAACTAGACTAAAACTAAAATTAGAGATTGATAAATTGTGACTGAAAATGAATTCAGTTTTAGTCAAAAGGTTATAAATAAAAATAAATTTGCTAAATTTGTGCTTCCAAACTAACTTTGTGTTTTAGAAATTATCATAATCTGACCCTGCAATCCAATTCTGCACATTTTATATATGTGTGTGTGTGTTTTTTAAAGTCAGCAAACAAAAATACTTACAGGGTTGTTCCAGAAACTGCAAACTCATCTTTAGAAAAATCAAAATATGTCCACATGTCACAGTTGAAATTTAAAGTTAGAAAAATTCACCTGAAATAAGGAGAAAAAATGTAATCCACAAGGTTTTGATGAATAACTGCAGGGGGTTTTTTTTCATTCAAAAGAAGACTTTAAACAAAAAAAGTGTCATTTTTCATTGTTTTGTCTGTGTTGTCCCATGAAAACATGCTGAGTTGAGACAGCTGTGATGTGTGAGAGCAAAGCAGATGGGAGTGATTGGTTTTAAAGGAGGAAGACAGTACGGGTGGAGACGGAGGGCTGGCGTCATCCAGGGTGTGGAGTGATGCAGACAGGAGGAGGAGGAGGAAATGTTTGAAAAACGTGATAATTGTGAGTATTAAAGCTGTAAAATATTCTACTTGCATGTAGAATATGTTAGTAGACCTGAAATCTGGGCCTAAATCTAAGGCAGATCAACAAAATCCCACTAAAGTACGACTACATGTGGATTTCTGTGCATGCGGAGTTTCTTTCAGCATCCTTTCATGTTTGTCTGACCACAGAAACACTCAACTATAACTGAGCTGTCTGATTTTTATTCCGTTTCCCTCCAAACTCCTCTGATCAGAAAATACAACGCAGCATTTTGCATTTTCATACAGTACATGTTTGCATGTGAGAAAGTGTCTTACCTAATGTTTAATTTTCCCAAACTTTGTCGCTCATTTTACGAGTTTCCCCCTCCTCTTCCTCCGTGTTCCCCACATCTGCCCCCTGGTTCTCCTTCTCTCCCACTCCCTATATTGTCTTAGAAGAAGGGGTGACATTTAGACAAGGGGAGGAAAACACACTGCCGACAAATATTGGAACTGAGGCAAATAAATCACAAGGTAGTAGGGAGTGAGGGCATAAGGAGAGCGCAGATAGTCGCACCAGCAGAAGAGAAGAGTTTGTCACAAATCTGAAAATAAAACATCTTGGTGGAATCAAATATTCTGTCTTAAACAATGCATTAGTAACTTCTTTTTTTATTGTTTACAAATATTTGAGCTTCAGCAGTCGGTGTAGCTGCACTTCCTTAAAATTTATGCAGTAGTTTCCCCTCCGTCTGTCTCGGCCTGTTTGCTCAGACTGGGATGTTCATAAATAAGGAGGTAATAAAACAGACACTTCTGATGACAGAATAATTCTCACAGGATATTGTTGATATTGCTGGGATTCAAAGGTGTTATCTGTGCTCCTGTTTGAAAAAAATACCCAGATTTATCACACATTTTATGACAATATAAAGCCTCTTACGACCTTCACTTAATTACAGTTTTAATTGGTTATGTTCTGTTTATTTCTCTGTAGTTGTTTTGGTAGCATAGCTACAGCGTGAACTAACAGATTTTGTCTGGTTTTGAGTAAACATGAGTAAATACAAAATGTAATTTCTAAATTATTATTTAATTTATTTTCCAAACTAAACTGGCTCTAAAAAAAAGGTGATCAAATCATGAATTAGCTGTGCATAAGCCTTTTGAAACAATTACAAAAATCGATACAGTTTGATAAAAACTTTTCCCTCGTAGTCAGCACAGATCTTTAAATTTACCTTTTGGCAGCTGGAACTTTGTCAATGGTTGTAATGTGTTTGCATTTGTTATAGAATATTTTACTTATAATTAACTTTTCAGATGAAATTCACAACAGCTAAACTTGGTGATTCAGACATCATTTTTTTGTGTGTGTTTTGCTGCTGGAAAACTCAAAACGTCACCGCAGACTTTCTGCTGACAGATCCGTCTGCACACTTTCTCATTCCCCCAAATTTCTCTGCTCACTCTCCCCTGTCTTTATCTGCTGAGACGGGTGTCTTCTTGCCTCCTTCTCTCGGTCCTCCTCATGTCGTATTCCTCCTTTGTGTCCCCCGTCTCTCCAAGTGACGTCCTCTGTTGTCTCCCACAGCAACACCATGGTGATGAGCTTGGCCACCGTCACGTCCAGCGCCTCTGTTATGCTCGTCCCTTCACCCCCTCTCGTAAATAACTTGCCCTCTTTTTTTTTTTTTTTTATCTTTATCGTTACCCCATTTTGTAGACGTTTTATCATGCTGACATGGTCTGGTGGTGATTGACTGTAGCCAAGAGACGCTTGTTAAAGCTTCAGTCGTGACATGTACATGGAGATGACTTGCATTTCCTCCTATTAAAGAGAGAAGCAGTGGACTTTGAGAGTGTCTGCTGGATAGATGGGGCACATCTAAACTGATCTTCCTCCATGCTCTCATGGTTGCACGGAGGGGATGATTGACCTCATTCAGGATGGCTGCCTCAGGGTGCCTCTGGACTTCACGGGCATGTTCCCCCTCCAAACGTGACCTCTCACCTTTAGCTCCTGCATTACTGGAGGCCCACCTGCCTCAGCAGTTTGAGTGCAGATGCAGAAATCATCTGAGGCGTGCACATGATCGCTGTGCATGAGCACGCTTGCATTGCTCAGGCATCCCTGCCAACAAAAGGCTGAATGCACTGCTGTGTGTATGTGTGTGTGTGTGTGTGTGTGTGCATTAATATTATGGGATGGCGGGCGGTGGTGTTGTCAGGCAGGGAAGTGGGGGTGGCAGAGAGGGAGGGGAATGGATGACCCATGAATGTTATGGAAATATGGTGGTGTTGAGAGGGGAGGGGGCCCGGCTGCGGCCTGCACACACGGGATAGAGGGAGCAGATAGCGGGATGAGGTGTTAGTGACGGTATCGCACGTGAGCCCTGTGCACGCGCACACATGCCTGTCTAAGGGGCATTCAAGCAACAGTAACAGACAATAGCCAGGCATAAGGCTTTGTTGCTATGCGATCTGCATGCACCGTACCACAGGGAATACTAGTGGCCATTGGAGTGAGGAGAAAGGCCTTTGGTTTTTTTTGGCTCAGATCTTCATTTTTACGAAGAGTATGCCACGTTATTTACTGTGAATGGGGAATAAAAGGAGCTTGTATTTACATTGTTAAAGGGAATTTTATCTGCTGGTGTCTGTGAGTGTATATGTGACCTTTAGAGGGAGAAGTCATGACTTCAAAAAGTGTGGGATGCAGAGTCATTTATCGATTACACATCTAGCGTATCAAGAGGGGAATATGAGTGAAGCTGGATTACTCCTACTAAAAATAACATCAGAAGCTCTGACAGATAGTAGACAGCATACCAAATTAAAGTGCAGTGTACAATTACAAAGTGATCTTATCTAAAACTGAAATACAGCAGTATCAATTGTGAAATAAAAATCTGATTTAATTTACAACAGGGATTATTAAAACATCAAATATTTGTTATAATTGCTATAACAAATATTAAATATTCACTGGTATTTTCGCCTTTTCTGTTGGTGAGCTGTAAGTCTTTGAGGTTGGAAAACCTCCTCGCCATCACCCTAATCTTTAGGGACTTTCGCCGTGCAGCTCAAAAATATTACTTCCAGTCAGAATAAACATATTGGTAAAAATATTACTTTAAACCTAATTCTCAACAGATATTTGCAGCTGTTACAGATAGATGGACTGATTTGTAGCAGAAAAAACTCCATGTAATATATATTTGTTTTCTTGCAGACTTTTACTGATTCAGTGTTTCCAGATTGATGCCTTATGTCACTTTGTGTTATTACAGGCAAAGCCCTTATAATTATAGTTTCTAATAAAACAAGCAGCACGGAAATGTGAACCTCAGTGAGGGATGTAATAACGAGATTAAGGAAGATCTGAAATACATCCTCAAAAGGCAAACACTGTCTTTATTCAACATAAATATATAACAATGGCTTTGCTGTATGTTCGCCACAAGTGAGCTGCATAAAATCAAGTGTATATAATTTAAAAAGAGATATTTAAAATGATCTGTGCACATCTAAAATTCACGTTCAGTAATACTAGCAAACACGTTCAACTTATATCTGTTTCATATTTGCATTAAAAGTTCATGTTTTTCTCAATAAATTATGACGTCTTTGGACACTTAATTAATTGAAGTAACTCAATTTGATTTGAGAATTGCTTACAGAGTGATATATTTTAAACCCAGAAATTATTTTTCTCTGAAAATTAGAAAGTTACATGAGACAATAAACAAAATGCTGTGCTAGGTCCATGCGATGGCTTACACTGTCCTGGGTAAAATGTCGACTTTACAGTCTTAGATAAAAACAGGTGGTCAATGAGTGCTGCACTGAAGCATATCACTGGAAAGTTGTGTGGAGGGAAGAAATTCTGTCACCTTCATGACACACCAATGCACTAAAAGAAGGCTAACTCAACTACTGAGTAGATACATTGTTTAATAATATATATTTTAGTAGACATGTAAAGTTTAAATTTTCCGTTAAAATTTTAAGGTTTTCTTAAACTTATGTCAATTAACAAAAACAAATGTCTGAAAATATATATT